GTGTGCTTCTCTGAACTAGTCATAAAAGGGACTGTGATTGTGTTAAGTACCCCATGGTTGAAATATCACAATAAATTATACAGGTACCTTTTGAAGGATGCACTATAGACACAGAGGAGTGAAAGGTTAAGCATATATGAACAAATTGTAATCTAGCTCATAAATACTAATTCAAGTAAAAAAAAAAAATTTAAGATAGTTTAACTGATATAATCACGGCAAATGCAATGTTTCAGCCATTAATGATTCCAACCTCTTGAATACAGGAGTTAAATATATATAGCTCTGTCTGGATTTAGCTGGCTGCATGTGCAAATTCTCACTGTTAAATTGCAGTAAAAACTGAGTTAATGATTCTGGTACTTGAAACAGAGAAGAGCACCGGGACTGTTTGCGTTCTCTCAACTGCGGACAGCATTGATATTTTTGTGGTTTGTTGATGCCCTAGTACAATCTGAATTTCAGCTGACAAGTTAACTATCTCATTAACCCTGCAGACTAAGAACCACAATGAATATTCATGTAATATAGTAGGCCCCTCTAATTTATTTTTCTATTTAGTATAAAAAAATGGGCAACATTTATATACAGCTGAAGTAACACCTTTATGGTTTTTGAGTGCCCAGGTATTGCTCATGTAGGTGTCTTGGTGTTTCTTATTTATCTTTTGTAATACTGTTGTTCTAGAGACAGCCTAGGACAAAGTAACTTGTTTCTCTCTCTCGCCCCCTATGCTTCTTCTCTTTCTAGATGCTTTGTGTCAGGAGGGACCAGAGATCATTCCTCTATTTTAAATAAGCACAGATACTAATGAAATTCCTTGGAGTAGACAATAATTGGCTTATCCCAAATATGTTGGCAGAAATGAATTCTAGAGTAGCTTTCCTATAGGAATTGGGGAGGGTGGGAATTAATTTTAAAATGGAGCCTGATCAAATAATGAAAAAAAAGTTGGAGTGATTTCAGGGTATTTGAGACATAGGACTAATGAGTGAGGCGTTCTTGTCCCCTATCTGCTGAAGAAAGCTTCCAGTGAATATTATGTAGTTTCATTGCAAACTTTTTAGCTGAAAAGATATTAGAGCTTTTTCTTTGGCCAAGTTGCCCTCCTTAAATGAAAAATGGCTTGGATATCTAGCTTTCCCTACAGATGGGTAGATAATGATCTCTGACCATTGTGTGTAGATTTTTCCCATAAATTGTTTCTGAGTGTGTTGGCTAATCTCTTTTTTGAATGTTCCCATTTTTTTTTTTTTTTTTTTTTTTTTCATCAGTGATCTTTTGGCAGCTGTTCAGTTCTAAATTGCTTTCACCATTAGGGAGCTTTTACTTGTACCTAATCTCACAGCAGCCATTTTGATTAGATTTAATACAACTTTTCTCGCAGCTTGCTTTAACTCAAAACTGCATCCTACTTTTTTTCTCCATGGTTTTCCTAAAAGAGTGTATGGAGGAAAGCCAGGACAATCTGCTGTTGAGGATAGATGGTTTGAAAGTTAAACCAGTGTCCTGAACAGAGAGTGCTTAAAAGGTTACAATGCGGTGTGTTCCGTGCAGCAAGCAGGCTTCTCGTGGCAATGATCTTGATTTATCATGGCTCAAACTTTGTCTTAGTTTCAGGTTGATGAGATTCATGTGTTCTACCTGGGGATTGATCATGCTATGCCATAAGCTTTCAATGCCTAGTATATGAGGAAAAGATACAGCTTGCTTCTTTCTGCTGAAGCCTGGTAGAAAGAGCTATAAAAGGGCTGCTAAAGGAATAGAAGCTTCGAGAGTTTAGTTTATTTATGAGCATGGGAGTCAGTTCAGTTTTTGAACTGTACTGATTGGTTGGTTTCTAGGTCTTCCCCTAGTGCTGTAAGCCTTCTCTTTTCTGTTAGTGGTTCATATACAAGTCTTAATGTGATAACCTTTATTAATGGGCTACTGTACATTGCTATTAGTGTTTAATACAGTGACCTCTTTTTGCTGGCAGTATGGAAGGTCATAGAAAGTCTGTTGCAATACAAGGATTAATTTACTGGTCTGCACCTTAATTGTTGCTTTTTTAGTTCAAATAATTGTGGGCAAAAAACTTGAACATGGAATTTATGTATCCCGTGAATTACTTAGTAGCTCCTCAGGGACTTGTTCCCCAGTAAGATGTTCTTTGGGGCTGGGAGCTGACTGATTGAAAAAGCACAGAAAAACCAGAAAGCAAACCCAAGAAACCTTACACACGTTGAAGTATGTTAACCACCACCACTTTGAACACACCTTTGCAGAACTGGAGCATTGATACATTCGAAGGACTGAGATTACTGACACAGGTAACTTTAGTTTACTGTTCAGTGGTGACTGGTATAAGAAGCATAAGCTTGATTAGTATGTCTGCCGGGACTAGGCAAAGGGGCCTGTTCTTGTAAGCAGAACCAAAGAAGCTAATAAGCATTAAAATTACTGTCAGAGGAAAATATACCCGATTCTAATTGACTAATTCAGTAATTGAAATTAGTTTTAAAGTGTAAGCTATGCTGTAAAAAAAGAACAGGGTGTTTGTTGTGCAGGTGTGTACCTACTGTGAAAAGAAAAACTATAATTTACACATTGCAAAATATATTTGGCTTAATGCAGTCATCTGGGCAGAGTTCATAGGGTTTCTGTCCCTTCATCCTGTCTAGTATCATTGCCCTATAAACTTGTCCTCAGCACCTACTTCAGCTTTTCAATTAAAATATAGATAACTAGTAGGAAGAACTGCTATAAGTTAGAAGTTTGTTCTAATGAGGTTTTGAGAGTATGACAGATGGCAAAATCCAGCTTTTTAATACTTGTGACAGTTCCTGCCGGAAAGTTATTTACCTGCTGTGCCAAGTAACATTTAATTACTTTAACTTCTTCCTACAGACTTCCTCTGTGCATATGAGAGCACTTTGGGTAGTCACTTTCCCTTATGTCTAGTTTTTTATTTGTGCAGGTTAATGGGATCATTACCAGAATCCCCATGGCAATTGATCACACTTTACTATTTTAAAAGAACAATGAGTAGGGACTGACTGGTAGTATTTTGGAAAATACATTTTAAAAAAAAAAAAAAAAAGCTAGATTTTAAACTAGGCTTTTACTTTTACCTTGCATGTAAAGTTTTGCCCCACTGCTTTGTGAGGCCACCTCATCAGTGAGCAAGTTTCTATATTAAAGAGACATTCTTACCTATTTCTCACAAACACATAAATTGTCAGTTATTTCCTGATGGTTTTGTTAATTTGACATAATTAGTGTATATATACTGAAGTAAACAATGCAGTATGTATATCTTGATATTGATAGGGTTTTCTTTGGGGAGTCTAGAAAAATCTACAGCTTCCTTTTCCTCAAGACGGGGGCATAAGAGAGATCCTTCTGTGGATTTCTGATTCTCCTTCCCTTATCCCTTCCTCTGGCCTATGAAATACGCTTTATAGGAATGAATGTGTGAAAAAGTAATAAATAATTTCCTAAAGGAGGGTTTATTTAACTTATTTGGAAGACCCGTGGTGGTTTTGAGTACAGATGGGTTTGAGCTGTACAATTCCAAAAAATAAAAGCAATGGAAACATAAGGGTGAGAATGGGAACATTGAAAACAAAGCATTTTGAGGCTGGAGAGAGAACTTTCAGTATATTCGTTTACAAATATTTCCTCTGAACTCCATAACAAAGAAAGATAGGAATCTTAGTTCTCGGATTCATAATAGGTGCTAGCTCGCTTAAGCTTTCCTTGCTTTTAGCAGGCTTCCTGTTTCTTTTAAATACCTACCCCTTGAATAAGGAACAAGAAACAATTGTCCGAATTCTAAATATGTATATGGGCCAGTTTGTTTACAGTCTGTTTAATGCCTGTGGATTTTTCTGTTCTTTCTTCACCTGGAGTCCACTGACTCTGTCTGCTTCTGCATTTTTTTAAACACTCTTAGGGCACAGCAAGGAACTTTCAAACAAAGTAAAGGGGGTATGTCTGTACTGAGGGTAGGGGGCAGAAAAGCAGTATCGGAGAAACAAGGGGAAAAAAAGGCAAAGATGGTCCTTATTCTGTTTTGGTCTGTTCTTTATCTTCCTTCTCCAGCTCCTCTTCTCTTCCTTGTCCTGACAGTCCTGAAAGCCATCCACTGCCTCCTGTAATCATCACTTAACATACTGCTTTCTTAACTATCACTGTCTGCAACTGAGAAGTATAATCATCTTTTGTCATTATATCCTGACTTGGATTCTTAATTAAAACTGTATGGTGGTCTGTCGCAGAAGTATGAAAATATTATTGTGTGTGTGTTCTTGATTAACATAGGTTCTGTTCAGTTTTAGAGTAGGATTGTCTTGAGTTTAAAAAATGTTTATTATATACTTCAGGTTATTCTTTGTGCTTCATTATTCACACTGGTGACCTGATAGAAGTGTTCATCGTGTCTTATGAATTCATACCTGAAAGGCTAACTTATTCAAAGTTGCTGTGTCCACACTGAAGTAGAATTACTGGATAATTTAGTACAGGTCGAACAGCTTCTTGTAACTAAGAAAATTTAAAAATTACTTAATGAATTACGTGAGGAATGTCTGTGCAAACTCTCTTTGCATGTATGCCCCTAAAAATGGACAAGGGACAGATAATCACAAATAGCAGTGATGCAGAGCTGTTCTTATACTTATCATATTCTTTTTAAAAAAAACCACTTTGACATATATGGTACAGAGTCATTAGTAGAATGATATTTCTACCAAAGTATAAAAGCTTTTTGCGTGCATGATTATTTAAAACATCTCTCCAGTACCATAGAGTAGATTAACATAATAATGTTACAGAGCTGCAACCACAGAAGAATAAACAGGATATTAAGATAACTGTGGAATTATGTCCTTGGTGACTTAACAAAGATAGTAAGGTTTAATTTCCAAATTTAGTGAGGACATCAGATCTGTTTGCTTACGGCTTTTCATATATAAGACTGCATATAACTGAAAAATATCTTTTGAATACTTTTTCAGCTCGAGATGCTGATGAGAGAGAGAAGTGGATTCATGCTTTAGAGGACACCATTCTCCGCCATACCCTCCAGCTTCAGGCAAGCTTCACTTTCACTTTTAAATTGGTTTACTTTGGGTTTTTTGCAAAGCCATGAAATACAATGGCATGACTAATAGCAAAATATGCATCCTATAGCTTATACAATCAGATATAGTAAGACATCACTTATAGGTACCTGAGATTAGGTTCAAGTTTTCTGTTACTGTTTTTCTTGTCGCACAATCATGACAAGTCAGTATAAGATTTCCCTTTATTAACTCACATTTTTCATTGGTGGTTCCAGACTTATTGTTGTATGTTTAGGTATTGGGTTTTTTTTAAAACTGGGAGTTAGTCCCTGTTGGGTCAAGCCTGTTGTGTGCTTCTACACCACCTAATTTTGAAATTAAAATGAGACAGCAGCACTGAACCTCTTTCTGGATGACAGAAATGGTAAACAGCTTATGTTTGAATCCACTGTGTAAAGTGGATATCGGCAGTTTTCTGGTTCTAAAAAGAGATGGTTGGACTGATTATGGTTCTTAGCACTAGTTATCTAAGATCAGTTTCTGGCAATGTTCTAGTGTTGGACATGTCTGTAAGACTTGCTAAACCTTTCTTTTTGTCTTGGAGAGAAACCCAAATTCTTTATGAAAGGGATTTTCTGATATTTGGTTTGTAGCACAAAGGTGTCTGATGACAGCATGGAAATCTTAAAACAGGTATTCACTGTTTGTCTTGAATAAAGGTTTGGTTTGCTTTTCAAGTATGGTAAGAGAATTAGGTCTCTTAATGATTGATGCTGTGTGAAGAAAGATACATTAAAATCCCTAATATCACAGAAAGAGAAGCAGCTTATAAAGACTGATTTAGGTGACATTTGACCAATCTAAAGAGTTAGAACAAGCCCGAGTTTATCCCTTCCAACTTTAGGCACTTGTGTTATCTCAGTCAATTTATGTTAATCTCCTGATAAACAGTGGCTTTCAACCTTTTTTTGACTTACTAATGACCCCTACAAATTTTCTAGTGGATAGCAGATCCCTGGATAAAAATTCAAGTCTGACAATCAATCAGCTTTGTAACCCTAGTAACATGCTTCATGGGTATTTTAGAAGTAATCTCTCCATCTGGACACAGTGGCTGACCACAGACTGAAGAACTCTGCTCTACTGTGGGGGTGAGGAGACAGAGATTAGAGAACAACATGTGGATTTAGAAGGGCTGAGCTCCCTCCCAAGGGTTCCCTTTTCCCCCATCCTTGGCTTGGAGAGAGAAAGTGAATAGGTTAACGTGAGTGGCCCTATTTAGGGTCTGAAATGAAGTAAAAGGAATCTCTGCAGTTTTTTCCACCTGGAAAACTTTTTATGGCTTGGAGATGGAGAGTACAGAAATGAAACACGAGAATACACTGTGGTTTTATAAAAATGTACACTTCCACGCTCTCTAGAAATTGTGATCGTGGTTTTATTGGCAGATACAGATTTTGTGAGTGCAGCAAGTAATGGAACTGTTTTCCATTACACAACCTGTTCACATTCCAGGAGTTTTTCAAATAAGTAAGGCATATATATAAAAAAGCCGAAGTTAGTATTTTATCTAGTAATGTTTGAAGGAATAATTAAAAACCTAGAATTTATTACTAAGAAACACATGCTCATCCCTCTTAAATATGTTCACCACTGAGTGTAATTCTTCATGGGCCACTGTTGTACGCTCACCATTCATTTTCAGGAGCCTTTTTAGTGTGCTGGTCATGTGCCCTTTGTGTTTCCGAGGCCCTTATTTTTGGACTAGCTGGAATACTGTTTGCTTACGCCCCAGTTCAGGAACTGTCCAGGCTTGCCATCTTCATTGGCTGTGGTGAGCAGGTACTGATTTAAGAGAGAAACGGGACCGCACTTCCTTGCAAACTGTCTGTCTTTGGTGAGTTGGGAGGAGCGGTCTCCATCTCGGTTCACCTGGAGAGCGCCGGGGCCTGGCCAGCGGGATGTGCTGGCGGGAGGAGCAAGCTCAGTGGAGCCTGGGCTGGAGTCACAAAACCCCGGGCAGAAACCACCCGCCCAGCTCTGACAGCCGGCCCGGCCC